CTTCCTCGCTTTGACCTGGTGCTGCGCTTGATTAAACACGGATTATTCGGCTCCCATTCATCAACATCCCTACCGTCATTCTGCCTTTGAAAGGGAGGTTATTAGGCGGCAGGTTGACGATATGCTTCGTGACAGAGTGATCAGAGAGTCCAACAGTCCATGGTCGTCCCCTGTAGTTCTGGTAAAGAAGCCGTATGGTGGCTGGCACTTCTGTGTGTATTTCAGAAGAGTCAATGCTGTCACGAAGAGAGACGTGCACCCTTTGCCGAGTATCAATGACATTCTTGATCTGCTGCAGGGATCCCGTTACTTCACGACATTAGACTCGACATCAGGCTACTGGCAAATCCGAATTTGAGAAGAGCATAAACCCAAAACAGCATTCTCCTGTTGGCTAGGACTCTACGAATTCAATGTTGTCCTTTTCGGTCTGTGTATCGCCCCCCCCCCCCCTCCTCATTCCAAAAAATGATTATTAAGGTTCTCAGTGGTCTCCTCTGGAGAGTGTGTTTGGCCTACTTCGATGACATCGTGATTTTTCTTCAAGACCCTGGCAGCCTATTTAAAGGATTTGGAAAGTGTATTTTTGGTTTTGGACACAACTAACTTACGACTGAATCCTAAAAAGTGCTGCTTCGCTCGAAAGCAGATCAAGTATCTCGGCCACATTCTCACAGGAGAAATAATCCAGCCGGATCCAAATAAAGTGGCAGCAATTGAAAAATTCCCGAGCCGCGAAACAGAAAAGGCATACAGAGCTTTCTTGAAATCTGTAATTATTATCGACGATTCATTAAGGATTTCTCCCATATTTCTCGACCCCTCATAAATTTAATCAAAAAAGGTGTTCCTTTCGTCTGGGACGCGGCCTGCGAAGAGGCGATGCAGTCTCTCAAAGAAAAGCTCATAACAGCCCCCGTTCTGCGTCAGTTTGAGCTGGGAAAGCCAATATAGGTGCACACAGATGTGTGCGATTACGGCATTGGCGCCGTGCTCATGCAGGAAATCGGAGCTCAAAAAAGAGTGATCGACTATGCTAGCCGGCACGTTAACAAAGCGGAGATCAACTACAGCGCAATCGAGAAGGAATGTCTTACGGTCGTGTACGCTTGTGGACAGTTCCGGCCATACGTGTTTGATACAAAAATCACAGTCGTCATCGATCAGGCTAGCCTTGTTTGGCTTATGAAGGTCAGGAATCCGCATTGTCGTCTCATGTGATGGTCTTTGTTGCTGTAGAAATTCGACGTAACGTTGAAGCATCGACCTGGCCTGAAGAATGGAAATGCTGACACGCTCTCTTTCTTTCCTCATGATCCTGCACCAGTAAGCGAAGAAATCACATTACCGTTGCTGGTTCTGGATCGAGTGGACGTAGAAGAGAGACAGAGGGCAGATCTATGGATGAAAGAGATTATACAACACCTCGAGCACCCGAACACATCTGTTGTCAGAAAAATTTAAAAAACGGCATGAAGCTTTCGATTGACCGATGGTGTACTGTATCGGAGGGCGACGGGGTTTCAGGAAGACCGCGCCACACTCATGTTCCTAAGTGCCTGAGAACAGATATTCTGAAGCACTGCCATGACGACACCACGGCAGGCCACCTCGGTGTCAGATGCACACGGGAAAAAGTATGTTGCTGGTATTTCTGGCCGAAGATGTTTGCATACGTGAGCAGGTATGTTCTCACCTGTCCAGACTGCCAGACGAGAAAGCCACCAGCAGGCAAATCGATCGGATTTCTCCAACCTATACCTCATGCAGGGCGGCTATTCGAGCAAATCAGTATGGATTTTCTTGGACCCTTCGTGAAAAATAAACGCGGCAATCACTACATGCTTGTGATGACTGACTACCACACAAAGTGGGTAGAAGTGGTCGCCTGCCCCGCTGCGTTGGCCACTGAAGCAGCCCAAGCTTTTGTCGAGCAAGTGGTTCTACGACATGGAGCTCCGACGAAGATAATCACTGAGCGGGGAAAGCATTTTGTTAGTAACTTAATTGAAGAGATATTCCGAGTAATGGGAGGCAACCACGTCACAACCACTGCCTACCACCCGCAAACGAATGCCCTGTTTGAGAGGTTGAACCGTACGCTAGCAGACATGCTCAGTATGTATGCCTACGAATCACCGGGATTGGGATGAATTCCTTCCTTATGTTGTCTTCGGTTACAACTCTTCACAACAAGAGACAACCAGCTTCACCCCAATTTTTTTGTTGCATGGCCACGAACCGACTTTGCCCATTGACGTGAGCCTCAACCTACAAAGTGACAATGAGGACGCTTTTGATGCATATGCAGTGGCGCACAGGCTTCGGCAAGCTCGGGAGCTCGTGGCTCAGCATGAGAGGGACCAGCAAACAAAGAACAAAAAAGCGTACGATGCCCGACGACGGGGCGCTGTGTTTCGACCGGGCAATTCGTCCAGGTGTAGACGCCCTCACGAGCGAGGGGCAAAACAACAAAGCTCCTGCACCGCTACCATGGACCAGTTCACCTGCTTTGACAAGTCGCGAAGAACAACTGGGAGGTCGTAAACCAAAGTGGAAGGAAGAATGACATTGTGAACGTAGCTTGTTTGAAACTGTGTCGCACCCGTTCATGTCTAGACGATGATGCAGATGACAAGAGTGAGAGGAAACGCAAGTGTTCAGAGAGTGTTGACACCATAGTGCCGCAGGGTGGTGAAGAAGTTACACCCGTGAGTAACCACAGTCAAAGTGAACATTGGACTAGTGACACCGAGGTCTACTTTGATCCCCGGGCACAATATTGCGACCATCAGCCGACAGCAAATGGAAAAGACTCTGGGCCATTGACAGTGGCACCGAGATTTGCTATACAGCCAGTGATGTTGAGTGAGTGATTTGTAGGACTTCTTTTTGAACTCCGTGTGTCGCAGTGTGTACTTTCATACTGAGATGTGTATGACAGAACTCCAGTTAGCAGTTTATCGTTTCCTCGTTTCACTGTTTTAAATCAAGTTTCATTTTGAGCATGCGTATTTTTTCATCTTGTATTAGTGCTTCAGTGTCTTGCAGATGTAAAATGTTTTGTACATTTATTAGGTTGCGGGTCGCCTTTTTCGCATGTTATAGTTATGTGTCTTTTAATTTATGTGTTTTATTTTAACTTAAAATGTCTTTGCTTTTTTGGGAGGGCACGAAGCACATTATGTCCTTGTGTGTGGCTTTTTAGTTTACTCATCAAAAGTGGGGACACTCTTAGTTCGCATTGGGGAGGTGTCGCGTCAACTTTGATGTAGCTATTTTCTTTTAACTTTTGGCTGGTTCCAATGATGCAGGATTGCCCAAGAGTAGGGTTGTGGTGGTCGCACCGGCTTTAATGTGCTCGTAGGAAGCTTCCTACGAGGAAGCTTCTTCGTAGGGAGCTTCTACGAGCGGTTGTTTCTCAGGTAGAAGGTCGCAAATGGCTTTTCGAGGTGCCGGATAGTCTACGAGGGAGCTACACTGTGGAAGCCAAAACGGACGTCGCGTTAGTTTCCTGTGTGTGTTTACTTTAGTTTAGGCCTTTATTCTTCAGGTTGACAGCACTCCTCGTGGTGAAACTCAATGGAGGACTCCGCGCTTGGATGTACCTGTTTGAATTCGTTCCACCTGATCTGAGTTGTCAACAGAGACGTTTGTGTAGTCCTTTCCCGTTTGGTCCACAGGCGGGCTATCGGGATGTTGCTGGGGGAGCCAGGAGAGAGTCGCCGCACAGTGGACGCGGTGTAGCAGGTTGCAGCGATTGCTGCGCAGAGTTGTTTCAGTTATGCAGCGTATAAGTGGGTACAACGTTAAAAAGAAGTGCTGTAGCCAAATAAATCAGTTAGAAGAAAGTCTATATGGATATGCTGTGTGTACATATCGATCCTCTCTCCGGCGGCGACCAAGTAGCGACCAGAACATTACGCTACAATATATATATATATATTATATATATATATATATATATATATATATTCGAAGGTCGTAGGTTCGATTCCTGCTCACAGCTGGTAATTTTTCATCCACTTTTCTTTCTTCTTTCTTCTTATTTACATTCCATTGGTTCTAATAACTTCGCCTGTACATTCCTTGGCATTACTGTCTGTTATATCTCATATATATATATATATATATATATATATATATATATATTCAGAGTGGCAGCCAACATGGACATTGACAGGCCGGCCTTTCATAGGATATATATATCTTATGAAAGACCTGTCAATGTCCATGTTGGCTGTCCTGAACGGATGTCGAGCGAACGTATAAATTTGTTACCTTTGTACATGTGATGTACAAGTGTACATTCGTGGGGATTTGATGGATGTCCAGAATATCCTAAATGCACATCCCATCGTATGCCTACCAGATATCTGTGGTTACTTGGGATACCGATGCCAGCTGCATACAGTTGGCATAAAACAAGATGCATCACTCGAGCTAAGAGCATGTTCTGGTTTATACTTCACAAAATTGCCTCCCTACTCCCCTCCCCCCTCCCTCCCTCCTCCAATTTTTCTCAATTCTGCATGTGTGTATATATACGCACAGATACTAATACATTCACAAATACACAAACTATAGTTAAAAGCCCCTCCCTGAGCCTATGAAAAAAATTTCTGGCTATGCTACAGGATGGTATGTAGAAAGTTCTCACTAAGAGATAATTTGTATCAAAAAGTGTGAAAGCATACATTCCGCTATTTCTTTTATGACCATTTTGCTATGTAAATAAATATGCACAATTCACCACAACAGAGAACCTGCCAAAGCATATGCAATCAGCTTATTACGTTTAATTTGTTGCAAACTCCATACAACATATGCATATGTCACATAACTTTTTCACATAACATTCCAGTACCAAAAGTTTTAATGCTGTATCAACAGCATTTGAATATACCAAAGAACTGAATATACAAAGAGCAGCAAACAAGAAGAATGTTGAAGGTCATCTGTTAAAAATGAGTTTGTCTTGAACGAAGAATGAAACTTACTTTGTTTTCGGAAGCTACTGTTGTAGTCACAAGCACGAAGCAAACTTGAGTTTGGTAGAAAGTAGGCATGATCATTTCTGGCATAGAAGTAGCGCTTCCCACCAAACTTTCCATCTCCTGCCCCAATGGGATTATCCTGACAAAGAAGAGATAACAAGTCATTCAAAGAGAAACATTAAAGAAAAATTACATTTTCAGTGTCGGCTTTTTAAAGAGGATCACAATGATCATGGTTGCAACTTGTGATGCTAGACAACCAAAATGATTTGTTCAAACATCTACAAATTGGGCCAAAATTAACAAATGGAAAAGTAACCATACGCTCAAGTTCATCAGGATGCTAAACATGCAGTGCAGTGAATATATGAAGAAAAAAACAGAGACAATAAAGAACACTGACTTTTTGTTTTCCTTCATAAACTTGTTAGGCTGTACTTACAGTATTTAGCATGAGACAACTTGCCCAAATCAAGCTGGTATTGTAGGAGATCGCTATAATGAATACCTTCATAGCAAAAACAACCACTGTAAGAGATAACCTACAAAGAAAGCATCAGATATGACTGAGCAAACACATGTAGCTACTTTTGCAGCATCATATTTTGTTCTAGTTAATAACACCCTTTCTTGAACCTACCTCCACATTACAAATTTTTATGGACCTCGGCTGTTCGTTTATCACTGTTCCTATGCTCCAAGCTGTCCATCATTTTGTGCCAATCTTCAGTTGGTAAAAGAGACTCCCTTGCGCAGGCAGTGGTCTTGAGTTGAACCCTTTTTTTTTCATGAATCCACATACACACCCATTAAGCTTCCATTGGGCTTCCAGCGGGCTTTCATTGAACTCTTTTGGTTAAATGTTATTGATGTGCTTTATTTGCCAACTGATTCATCATTGTACTACTAGCTATGTATTCCTTATACTCATTATTTCATTCTTTTGCAAACAATGCAATATATACATTTTGTACATGCTGCCAAGTTCAGACTTTAACGTGTTTTGTGTAGTTTTATCACTAGACTTTCTATTTCAGCATAGGTTGCCATTGTTTCAGGGGATAACGACACATGAGAGGGAGATTTGTGGGTAAGCTAACATAGCAGATGTAGTGGACCATGACATAGGGCTCGCATCAGGCTGTGAGAAGAGACCAATATGAATCGCATGATCGTGTCGTTTTGACTGCATAATTTTTGTGAGTTGAGCGACGAAGTGGCCAAAGATGACTTTGACAGCTTAGATTTCATTTAAGAAAAAGATTGACACAAGAGTTGATCTAGGACTTCAGCCGGTACCCGTAGGTGAGCATACTTTCTCATTCACATCTCTCGCGACTAGCCGAAGAGGCTTACTGCTTGTTCGCATTGTTTAATTTGTGATTATAAAGTCACAACAAGCTTTTAAAGAATAGCTAATTCATCAGCTTCTCAACCTTGACAATGCCAGGCCAGTCTGAACTGCTCCACCTCCTCCAGCCCCCTCCATGAGGCACGCACTCCGCAAGCCAAAAAAAGCAGACAGGTGCAATAATTGCAAGCTCAGTTATGAGCAGAAGAAAACCAAGCTGAAAAACAAATGTTTTTTGCAGTACATGTAAAGTAAATTTGTGTTTTACAACAGCGTGCAACTATTTCGTTGACTGGCACAAGCGTGATGGAGCATGAGTACTGCCATTGGAGCACGAGTACTGTACATGAGTACTGCATGAGCGCAAACCTCGAACCTTAATCAAACATTGTCTGAAATACAGAAAACGGTTAAGGAACAAGCAGAGGCAACCAACAAACTCTCACTTACAATATCCATCATCATGAATAGACTAGATAAACTTGAAGCTAACGTAGCTAATCTCAACCCTAGGACACCTCCAGTACTTACAGCTACCACCCTTTTGATAAGCATTGAAGGCAATTCACACTTATTTCAGGGCACCACATCAGCGGCTAAACCAACTAATCTCATGAGGCCTGCCTCCTTTCATCCTCCTCCCTTTTCGATAGCCAAATAAAAATAGAGAAGCCAAAGAAAAGAAACTTGATTATTTGGCAGTGTAATTGGAGCTATGAGGGGAAGAGAGCAGTCCTGCAACAACACCCCAGGGACAGAACAAAACCAGATGCTTTAATTTTGCAGGAAACCCATGGTTTAGCTAAGCTACGCGGATATCAGGCAACCCACCCTACAACAGTGGATAATAGAACACTAACCACTCTTGTGAGGAAGGGACTCGTAGGAATCTGCCATGACACCCATATCACAGAAATTGAGCATATGCTTATAGAACTTGCCCTAACAAAAAAAAATCTCCGAGCACATTTGTTCTCAATTCGTACAGCAATACCGCACACATATGACAACGCTTTCTCATTCTTTTTAAGAAGGCCGTAGAAATGGCGGGACCCAATTCACTCGTCATAAGAGGAGATTTCAACGCTCCACAGTGCTTGGGGATATGAATATACAAGAGCAAAAAGAAAAATGCTATGGCAGGATATTCAGGAAACAGCTTAACTCTCATCACCGACTCTGACTCCCCTACGCATATGGGAACTGGGCTTGCAAGAGACACCCCTCCAGACCTAACGTTAGTCTGTAACGCAGGGACTGCTGAATGAAAAAACACATTTGATCATCTGGGGAGCGATCATTGCATATTATAAATCATGGTAGAAGCCATGGCTGCCGCAGAACTTCATAGACTGATGAGATGGACCAACTAGAATAAGTTTCGGAAAGTGAAAAATGACGAAACCAAGAGCTTATCAGCAATATTGAAGATTGGATCAAAGATGTCAATAACAACGTCAGCGAGGCAACGCAAACCACCACTTCAAAGCCCCCCATAAATCAGATTAATAGCCATCTCGCACACATGTGGGAGGCCAAATAATCACTGCAGAATAGATGGCGAGGACAGAGGCACAACAGACCCTTGCGCAAGCGCATAGCCAAGCTGAGCAAACAGACCGAAGAACATTGTAAGCAGCTAAGCAAACAGCAATGGTACCAAGTGTGTGATAGTCTCGATGACCAAATGAACGCTGGCCGAACATGGCGCATGCTCAAACACCTGCTAGACCCATATGACACTAAATCAGCAAACAAGAAAACCTTGCATAAACTGGTGCACCGGTATAACAACAGTAAGGAGGACTTTATCGCTGACGCTAGGAACACGTACATTCTCGCCATGCCCATCACAGAGAACGGACCATATACCGGAGGCCCAAACAAGCTCCTAGATGAGGAGTTTACCGTGGCTGAAATCAGGGCTGGGCTACAGAAGCTAAACACCAAATCTCCACCGGGACCGGACGGTATCACCAACAGAGCCCTACGAAACCTTGATGACCAAGCCATAGAGAACATCATGGATTATAATAACGAGTGCTGAATCGAGGGCAGTATTCTACAACAATAGAAACAAGCTAAAGTAATCCTGACCCCCGAGCCCGGGAAACCTCCCAATCTATCCAACTTATGCCCTATATCACTCACATCATGTGCTGGGAAACTGATGGCACACGCTTTTCTAGACAGAATCAACACTTAAGACAGAATCAACAATTAAGCAGCAGATCCTAGACAATAAAACAAGATTTACCCGAGCGATCTTAGGATTGGACCTTACAAAAGCCTTCAACAAAGCATCACATACAGCTATACTATATCAGATCAGCTGATTAAGCTTAGGATCGAGAGCATATAATTATGTCAAGGACTTATTATGCACTTAATTATGTCAAGCGACAGAAAAGCATCCATCATAATGAGAACACTGAGATCTGAGGAAAGGCACATGGGCAGTGCAGGCACCCCGCAGGGCTCAGTCATATCGCCAATGCTGTTTAATCTAATAATGATAGGACTCCCAGTACGACTTGACTCTATTTACGAAATACACCGTTCAATATGTGCAGAAGACATCACCATCTGGGCATGTGAAGGTAGTGACGGAGAGATAGAGCAGAGGCTCCAAGAGGCTGTCCCCGCTATCGAGGAGTATCTTGAAGGTACTGGCCTTGAGTGCTCGCCAAATAAATCTGAACTCCTCTATCGCCCTACGCTCAAAGGCAGACCACCCAAGGGATACAGCCAGGACTGTGCTTATGAAGAGATACAAATTCACACCAAAAATGGCAGGATTATTTCTATAGTTCAACAAATCAGAGTCCTTGGACTCATCATCGAGTTTAAGGATACAAATGACGAAACTGCCAAGGGCTAGTAGCCGAATCACAAACAAACACCAGGGCATGAAAGAGGTTAATGTCATCAAGCTTATTAATTCATTTGCGATAAGTCATATTATATATGCAGTAGCATATCTAAACTGGTACACAGCTGAAAAAGTCAAGATCAACGCTCTCATATGAAAGGCGTACAAGCGAGCTTTAGGCCTTCCAGATAGCACCAGCACTGAGAAACTATTTCAACTGGGTTTACACAACACTTTAAAGGAGCTGATAGAAGCTCTACAGATTGACCAGTTGGAGAGACTAGCCAGCACGTGTACACGACGAAGTATCCTCGACAAGTTAGGGATAAATTACCATAGCCAACAAGCAAGTACAGTGTCGGTTCCAAAGATAATGAGAGAAAAGATCCAGGTCCCCAATCTACCCAAAAACATGCACCCTGGACTTAATCAAGGCAGAAGAGAAAGCAGAGCTAGAACTCACCTCAAGGCCTATGGTAGAGACAAGGAAACATCGTTCGTAGACGCAGCGGAGTACCCGAGTCACAAATCCTAAGTTGCGGCAGTAATGAACACCGACCCCAAGTGTGTAAGTGCGTGCTCAATACGCACTGATAACTCGGAAATTGCGGAAGAGATGGCTATAGCACAGGCCATAATTTCCCCAAAATGTAGTTATGTCATTAGCAACTAGCAGTTGGCCATCAGTAACTATGCACGAGGAAGAATATTTCCCGAGGCAACTAACATACTCCTCCACAAGGCTAAGCTTATATCATCCGAGGAATTCAAAGAAAGGTATATTATGTAGTTCCCAGCCCACACTTCGTGTGAGTCCCCCATTCCCAACCCCAACAAGAAAGCTCACCGTGTCACGCGAGTTCTCACTGCACTCACAACAGAGCTTCCCACGAGGCACTGGGAGAAGAGGGGTGGTGAAAAAGGAACAGAATGTTTAGGTTCTGCGACATTATTCAATTTTACCAAAAGTTGAGGCGCAGATTTCCACCACCTAACTCCAAACTAGACAGGTTGACTGGAGGCGACTTCAAATCAGAACATTTCCCAACCTGGTGCATCAAAATTGCATCTACCCCGAACTATAACCAGATGACTTGTGTAAGCTATGCAGCATTCAACACGCCACCCTAGAGCATACTTTATGGGAATACACACAGATACAGGACGCGAATGCAGTCTCCCTAGAACAGCTCGGGACGCGGTGGAGAGCCGCGCTGATCAGCTCAGATTGGGCAGATCAAATGTGGGCCATCCACCAAGTGCGAAAGGGGAGAGGCAGGGTCTCTAGCGGAATGAGGCGTGGGCTTAGGCCCACACCTCATTCTGCTGGTTTGAATAAAGTTTGTTCACTCATTTGACAAAAATGCAGTGCAAGAGAGGAAAAGCATGCAAAGCCACGACAATAAATCTGTGCAAAAGTGATAAAAAGGATTAAGAGGAATGTGATAAAAGGGAACACTAATGAAACTCAGGTGCACATATCAGACAAAAGATTTATGAAAACAGCAAAATATTTATTTCATTATTTTTTTTAGTGAATAATAATGGCTACCCGAGCAATGTTTAAGACAAAGTGAGAAATGATTAATACTGAAGTAAATACAGAAGTACAAAAAATACATTGCAGTAAAGCTTCAGGCTTGTTTCTTACATAATGCAACTTATAATAATGCATTGGGAAAAACTATTTGTATCTTCCCTTGCAAAAGTAAATTATCAAAAAATACTCACAAATTCAACGCCAATGGTCCAATTGGGAGAAACAACAGGAATTCGACCGATCCAACGAACCCAGCCATGTTCAGGCCCATGTTCAAACAACCACACCACACGGTCTCCTAAAGTCAGAAGTGGTCCTACATCCTCTTCACTAAAAGGCTTCCTTAGAGACATAATGTGAAAGGATGCTGTTCCTGCAATAAGTTATTTTGCCTAATGGTAATTTCAGTTTTATGAATGTGAATGTTATAATAATATTTGAAGATAAAATAAGAACCTATCTCATTTACTCTCAACCATAGCTGCAAGAAAAAATTGTGAAGAAAGCATTAAAGAAGACAATCAATGAAGGGACTACAGCAAAACAGAAAAGTTTTGTGTTGATGCTCTGAAATAGCAGTCACTGTTCTATTAATTTCATCCTCTTGAGTGAGGACGACTTTAGAACATGTTACAGCACTCATTAAAGCAAACTTCAAGACATTACATTACAATAAAAGTTTTTAACTCGTACTTGATTATTTGAACACACAGTTAATTCAAACTAATGCCTTGGTCCCGGAACAGGGTTGTGTAATTCTACAAGGGTAAATTCCCGATAATACGAAAACGTCAGTGTCTACAATGATTAATTCGAACTGGCAGCCGCAGATTTTCATCATTCCTTACAGAAGTCAGCCCCGAGAAATCACAATGTGTTGCAAAACCAAACCAAGCCAAATTTACTATAAATGCAAAACAGTGAACAACATTTCTCAGCAGGTGAAAATTTGGACGCTGCAATGAAGCTCTCAGGCATCCTGCAAGCAATGCTTACGAAGTCACTATAATAGAAACACAAGGAAATGCAAATCACTGATTGCTTTAGTTTTGCTTGCTTTATCTCTGTCATAAACAAACATGTTTTGGAGCATAAATATTGTCACATATTTTGACATTAAGGCTCATTGCTCACACGAGTGCAACGTAGGTGCTTCTTTCTGGTGTGTCACTGACTGATAAATAATTTATTTGCTGTTGGAGTGCTGTCAACCTAGTTTATAAAATCACCTGCCTTAAATGTGTAGTACCACCTAATAATCATGATAATAAGTCAGGAGGTGCCTTCTCTGGGTTTTGCCCGCGCAGTGGGGCATGACTTCTGTTCATTCCAGAGGCCATACACTAATTCAAGCTACACTTGATGAACAATTTTGTAGTGCTCTTCAAGTTTGAATTACCAACCTTTCACTGTACTTGGCAAAATTTGTAACTGGGTGATTCATTGAAAACTACGGAATGTGCGATAGCATGACAAAAAAAAAAAAAAACTTTGAGGAAGCAGTATGTAGCAACATACTATGTGTTCTTTTTTTTCTTTGCTTATATTTAGTAGAAAAACTGAATCTAGTGCACTGGAAATCTAGCTAAGCAAAACTTGTTGCAGAATGAGCTAGCTGATAGACCCAGGAATGCATAACAGTGAAAGTTAAAAACAGAATTGAGGACGGAGAGTTGCAAATATTGACTAAATTAACAGGTATACCATAATTACTCGAATCTAATGCGCACCTTTTTTCCGGTTAAGCGAATTCATAAATCACATGCGCGTTAAAATCGAGTACGAAAAAAAATGAATTCAGTCATTCCATTTCATTCCATTGCCATCGGCATTTTCAAAATGGCTGCCCCCTACGTGCGTCGGCATGGCGGGACGGCCATTTCTGCCTATGTGTTTCCCATGTGCGGCACTTTGTACGTGTACTGGGGAGTTCGTCATTTTGTAGTGCATTAGCATCGATGGCATGGAAGGGCAGACTCCAAAAACTCGAGTGCACCACGATGCCGCTTTTAAAAGAGAAGTCATCGCATGTGCAGAAACGGACGGAAATCGGCCAGCATCGCGCTCGTTCGGAGTTCCGAAAACGTGCATGCGGGACTGTCGGAAACAAAAGCAGAAGATTGTGTAAGTGTCCTGTGAGATTGTCGACAGCAAAGCTTCACGCAAAGGCTTCAGTGGACCACAGCAGGGTCAGTTTCCGCAAATTGAAGAGCTGCTCGGCGAGTATGTGCTTGAGCAGCGAGCGGCCCGTGACGACAGAACTGCTCCAAGGGCGGACTATGCAGTTAGCCTTAGAAAAAGGGCTAATGCGGAGCCAGTTGAAAGCGAGCAGGTGCTGGCTAACTAACTTTATGAAGAGAAAAGGCTTTTCCCTCCGAAAGCAAACGGGCATATGCGAAAAGAAAAGTTCCTGGAAGGGTATGGTGAAAAGCTTCACAGTTTTCAGAGGTTCGTCCTGAGCTTGCGACACAACAACGGCTAACTGCTTGGGCAAATCGGGAATGCCGATCAGATGCCTCTTTACTTCAACATGCCTGGCACCACAACCATCGAGAAGAAGGGGGCGAAGCAAGTTCGCGTGCTGACATCGATCCACGGTAAAACTACAGTGACGGCAATACTCTGTTACACGCCAGATGAACACAAGCTTCCGCCATACCTCATATTTAAATGAAAGACGCTCCCGAAAGGAGTCATTTTTTCGAGTGGTGTGATCGTGCGGGCCAACGAGAAAAATGGGTGCACGTTGCAATCGATGTCTTATTTTTCTTTTTTTTTCGACGTAGAAACCGGGTGCACATTACAATGGAGGGCGCGGTAGAATCAGGTAAATACGGTATAATATGGTGCTTCATTTACTACGAACCTTACCGTTCATTCCTGATTAAAGCGCGATTCTGAACCAACACTATTGCTAAGTGCACTCACCCAGTGTGCTGCTAAATATGCCCATTTGACAAAGGCATTTATGAATAACCAATATCAAGCAGGCACATCAATCGGCAAGGTAAATATAAAAGTCTGCAAAGCCATCTGCTTTAAAAGGTAACAATGGAGTGATGCGTACAAACTCGTATAGTTTGCACACATCAGTTTGTACACTTAAATTAAGGAATTCTACAGAGAAAAATTGGCATGTAACCTGCAAATTCATAGCGGTAACGTAGAAACACATAATGAATCTGTTTTCTAAGGAGATTAATTGTGTGTGCCACCAACAAATGCACAAGCCACAACATGGTAGGCGACTGCCTTCTTTCTCCTTTTCATTGGGCCTAAAACCAGCACCACCACTACAACTTTCCCCTCACAGCTGCCAGAGCACCAGAGGGCAGCAGGTGAGAAGCATCAGCCTGATCATGTTAAGTGTTCCCTCTCCTTCCCTAAACCAAAAGCTTATTTCTCAATTTATCAACACAAAATTGTCAGTGACCACCTCAAAACCAGCAATGTAGCCAGAGAAATTATTCATTATAAACATATTATAAGCTTTGTTGGATATGGACTGACATCTTTCAATGTTTGATGACGATTACATATAAACACTGCCATAACAACAATACACCAGCACAAGTAAATATGTCAAAAAAAGCTCAGAATCAAAGATTTCATCATGGCAGAAACCTAATCACCTATTAATGGTTAACTTGCCAAGTATACACAACAATCTTCCAAAAAATTAAGGCATCATGATTGATTCATGGCAATAACTAACACCAATAAATTAATATTTTTCATCAGGAAACCTACTTTTTAGAGGTATTGCTAGACAAATTCTACAGGCCACCTTGCCACAGATTATGGTCTACTGTCTTTAAAAAAGTCCTCTTAGGCATAATAATAATAGTTTTGAGTGGATTTATATGCCAAAACTACGATATTATTACTAGGTACGCTGTGGTGGCAAGTTCAAAATTCATTACAACTATCTGAGCTTTTTTTAACACGTACCTCAATCTAAGGCATTACGTATTTTGTCCCACACCCCAAAAAATGTGGCCATTGTGGTTCACAATCGAACGGGTGTGTTCAAGCTCAGCAGCACAAAGCCTTATCTGCTCTTGGGTATAGTTAAGGATATTGTTTTGGAGTTTTATTTTATGAAATATTGAAGGCAAAAAAACCAAGTTATCGTTAAAAGTCATGAACAGGAAATGCGCATTAAAGATGTTCTCTCAACTAAAATTCATCTAATGTTTTATTTATACAAAAACAAATTATTTTAGCTCATAAATTTAGTCCCCGCAAGCAAATACACTTGCATAGTTGACCAAACTTTTATACCTACAGCTCAAACTTATTACTTTCAATTCAGCAGGCATCACAATTCAATATTTTTTTACCACATCATTTACTGAGTCTTTATACCCTTCAAGAGCTAAGCCAACACGAGCACTGTGCATCATCAAACGTTCCTTTTTCTGTGTGCATTTGTCTTTGCGGCAAGCTAACAAAGTAGAACACCCCAAAACAAGCCACTTGAAAGCTTTGCTTAAGCTATTGTTGATAGCTCATCATTGGTTTTCTGGAGATCAGCAATCACACGGTGGTGGGATTCCAGTAGTAGACGCTCCCATTTTGAAGGCGTTGATTATATCTTTAATAAAACTTGTAGCACAATAGGACTTCACCTGTCCAAATACTTTGGTGCTACAATGAATATAACAGCCTCACATGGTCCTTGAATATATCTTCTGTTTCCACTTCAGCAATGCAAAAGTGTGGCTGCTAAGGCGAAAACTTGTATCAATGCCTTCTGCTGCAGAGCAGCTGACGTACAGCTCTTTCATTAGGGCAAAGCTCAAATATCGCATCATTGTACGATACTGATTGATTGATTGATTGATATGTGGGGTTTAATGTCCCAAAACCACCATATGATTATGAGAGACGCCGTAGTGAAGGGCTCCGGAAATTTCGACTACCTGGGGTTCTTTAACGTGCACCCAAATCTGAGCACACGGGCCTACAACATTTCCGCCTCCATCGGAAATGCAGCCGCCGTAGCCGGGATTTGAACCCGCGACCTGCGGGTCAGCAGCCGAGTACCTTAGCCACTAGACCACCGCGGCGGGGCATCATTGTACGATACTGTACTATTGTACAATATAACAGTGAAATTTTTCAAAATTTTAAAGTAAGGCAGTCTTTGTTGATTCCTTTATGGTGAGTCTTTGTTGGTGTCACAACACATTGGTGAATCATTAAAATCATGCAGAGAAGTGAGCCAACTGTCATTTTTTGAATAACTGCCTAGCCGTAAATATTATCTTAGGTTTAAAAAAATGTTCAAAGATTTACAATAGTACCAAGAAAGTATGGGCCACTAGAGAAAAATTGCTAGCTCTCATTTTTGCCAGAAAAGATGCATTA